ATTTCTGTATTTCTGGACTACACCAGGTACCGGTCAGCATACGCTCCTCGTCTGAGTGAGGACAGACGAAATTTCTTTCTGGCAGGGGTTTCAGGGTTTCTTCTGTCACACAGGAACGGCATAGGGGGAAGGTGAGTTTGGTGGCGGAACCAATCTTTTGACGATGCGGAAGGACGGGATTGAAGAGATTGGTGGGTGGCAGAATAGAGATTTTCATCAGGCCATAGTAGGCGTATGGATCTTGGTTGGCGGGTTCCAGGATGATGGTTGGATGACCAATGGGGTATTCACCGTATTTATTTACCCAAGGGTACTCGGAGGTGACATCCACGTACCGGATCTGTTCCCCTTGGGTAGAATCAATACGGTGGTAGAGTGTCGTGGCACCCGTTCTACCGCAAAAGAATGCCTTGCGAGGTTGCAGGGGTGTGGTAATCTGGAGGGACTGCGTGAAGGCACAGAGATCTGGACTGGTCTTTTTTTGCTGCTCCCATTGACACTGCCACATTTCAACGACGGTATACCCCAATCGTTGCAATGTGGCAGTTTTTTGTGCGGTCTGACGGCGAAGAGCTTCGACGGTCATGCCAGCAGACGAGAAGGCAATCTGATTTCTCTTAGGGAAACAGGAACTACAGCCATGGAACAAACACCCATGAAACTCGTATATAGTACGCGTCTCTGCATGGTACCCATCCACCGTATATATACGAGATCCATGGGGTATGCTATACTCTCCTCCCTGGTGCGCGTGTTGGGTTCTGGAACCCAGACCCCTCTCCGTCGACATCAACCATTCCATTGCCACGTGGGAGTGGTTTGGCATGGCACCTTCCCACCCATTTTCGGTTCAATGGCAATACAATCCGGTGCCATGACACACTTTCGCCAATACCTATAAAAAATCAAAGAATATTATTTAATATTTAATGATATCATGGTGATTTTCCAGAACACAGCATGAAATTTTGAATTTACGGTTCCGTAAAGACGTCGTAAAGAAAGCGTTAAGATCCTCTTTACTTATCTTTACGAGCTTCTTTAGACTTTCGTAAAGAAAGTCTTTAGCGATGTAAATGGTTGAATATAAAGATCACGCAT